TTTATTACTCCCACAGTTCTTATTACTTTTTTTGAAGAGAATAAAACCAAATGTGACATAACAAAACAGAGTCAGTCAAATCAAAAGGATGGACATAATACATAATGTAAAAACAGAATACAAGGTGATCAACAATGGTTACAATACTGCCTCTTGCTATCTTAAAAAGAATTGCTTATATCATCAGTTATAATAAAATTGAACAAAACAGTAAAGAACAAAACTAATAAAACCAAAACATTGGAGACATTACAGGACTTCAAAAGAAGATAATAGTCAAACCAGAATGTGCATCATAGTGAATCTTACTGTATTCACAGTTGTTGCCTATACTCTCAAACTTGGTACTATCAAGCAAAACAGAATCAGCCAAAACAAGATGATGAGAGCAATACAGGGTTTCAAATCAAGTTAATAGGGAATCAAAGTGGGTTATCCTGCTATTTTTTATTTATTTTCCCCTTAATTAAAAAGATAAAAGTAAAAAAGTAAATAATTAAAAAAGATTGAGATAAAAGAGAACATAACAAAACAGCACAGGTCAAAACATATCCATTTAAAGCAAAATAGTGTTTCACCACAAGATATACCGCCATAAAAGTAGTTACCATAGTGTCTCTTTCCTTGAAATCTTTGAGTATAACTTCATATACTGTAGCATCAAACATATCAAGACAATTTAAACCATTCAAGAGAATGACAGTATTACAAGGTATTTAGAACCAACTAACAGAAAATGAACAATGGTTTCTGTATAATGTCCTTGTCTATAAAAGTTTTTGTTTATATTATCACATATAATAACATCCAATAAGATACAACATGTTAAGACTGATGAAGACAGAAGAACAAAAGCTTGATGAGAGTTCAAAACAAGATGATATTAAATCAGCACTAGCTCTTATGATGTCTTGTTTTCTCCAAAACAGCTGTTCCTACCATCCAACCTTTTCTGCCTCACTTCTGTTGAGCTCTTTTTCTGTCATTAGTTGTCAGTTTGTCTTTTTCATTTCGCTTTCTGCTCCATTCATTGTGGCCTCTCTGCCACTGTTTCTGGAATCTTGTTATTTTTCTTTTTTAGAATGTCTATAGAGTTGAATTGGTGGTTGCAAATTCCCCTAGTTCCTCTTTATCCTGGAAGCACCTTGTTTCTCCATTAATTTCTAGGGACAGTTGTGCAGGATATATCAATCTTGGCTGGAAGTTATTATCTTTCAAAGCTTGAATTATTTCCCCCCACACTCTTTGTGATTTGATGGTTTGTGCCGAGAAGTCTGCTATAATTCTGATGGGTGTTCCCTTGTAAGTGATCTGTTTCTTGTCTCTGACAGCTTTTAATATTCTGTTCTTATATTGGATTTCTGGAATCTTTATTATATGCCTGTGTGATTATTATATGCCTGTTTGGGTTGTAGGTGGCTGGGGTCCTGTATGCCTCATACATTTGAGTATCTTTACCTTTTGCTAAATTAGGGAAATTCTCCTGGATTATTTCTGTGAATAGCCTTTGTAGTTCATTTGTTTGTGTCCCTACTTCTTCCTTTATATTCTTAATTCTTAAGTTATAGATCCTCTTATTATCTTCTAGCCTTTGTATTATTGCTGTTTGTTTCCTTATTATTTTTAAGAAGTTTTTCATTTCATGCTCCCACATTACAAATCAGATAATCTATCCTTAGTTTCTTTCAAGCTGCTATGCCAGCTTTCAATAGAGTTTTTAGTTTCTTGGTAATCTCTTTGAACCTGCTTCATGTATTCTATGTTTTCTCTGTTTTCTCCAATCAAACAATTCTCCCCTTTTTTTTCTGTTCTTCCATTCCACCATCTGTTTTTTCTTGGGCAGTGGTTAGCATTTCTCTAACTATTCTACTTATATCTTGCTTTACTTCATTAAATACTTCACTTTTGAACTCATCTATGAGGCTCTGGAGATATCACTTTATGTCTATTGGTGCCATGCCTGATAGTGCATGTTTTCTGTCCTCATTCTCCTTTGCATTTACCTTTCCTGGGGCAGTGTTCTCAGGATTGGGGACCGAGGACCCTTTCTTGTTGCCTCCTCTTCTCATATTTTTTGTTCTTCCATACAGGCATATATAGGAGGCCCAGTTTCTTTCTTTGTGGGTTACAGTTTGTTTGAATCCGCCAGCTAGATGTTCCTGTCCACTGCAGTGTACTAGGGAGACACAGACTGGGGCAGCTTATGTTGGGTCCGCCCCTCCAGGTCAATCAACCTACTGAAGACTTCACTGCTAGGGTGCACTGCCAGGTGCTGGGACCTGGTTGGGCTAGCCTACTGGATCTTAGTCTGTGGCTTCATCCAGGTCAGGCACTCCCCACCACTCCTGCTTGAGAGGGGAATATGCGACTAAAGTCACTGCAGCGTCCTGTTCCGGCTAGTCTGCCCGGTCCCAGAATGTCCTCTTTTGGAGCCTCCTAGTCTATGGAAGGGTCCCCGTTCCTCTCATTCACCACAGGTCGATACTGGGCTCCCCGCCAGTCCTGCTCTCAACTCGGTTCGCCAATTCCCACTCTCAGAGCTTTCGCGTTTCTATCCCCGCTGTGCCAATTCAGACGCAGCGGCAGTGGCAGGAAACTCAAATCGCGGTTTCCAGAGGCACAGGTTCCAGCTTTGGCGCTGAGATTTTATCTGTTTCGGTCATAGCATCAGGATTGCATTTCCAGTTGGTTTCTCTCAGCTTAGTTCATTCCTGGGTGGGCAGGGTATATCTCCCCTTGCTTAGGACTCCTAAGACTGCACCATTCCTGGAATCTAAGCTGGCTATCTCAGAGAGCCTCCATAGCTGCTGTTATCTATCCGCCATGTTCTCCCAGAAGTCCTACCACACTTTATCTATTCACATGTTGCTGGGCACCTAGGCTGCTTCCATATCCTGTCTACTGTGAATTAGTGCCACACACAGTAAGGTGTGCAGGGATCCCTGTAGCATGCTACCCTTACTGCCCTGGGTATATATATCATGGAGTGTTGTATCAGGGTCGTATGGTATTCTAGTTTTCATTTTTTGAGGAACTTCCATACTGATTTCTATATTGACTATATTAATTGCATTTCTGGTAACAGTGTAAAAGTATAACTTTTTCTCCTGCACTCTCATCAGAAGAATTTATTGGTTTTGTATTTTTTCTTCATTCTTGGTTTTTTGAGACAGGGTTTCATTATGTAGTCCAGGCTGGCCTTGAACTCACAATGGAGCCCAAGATGGCCTCAGAATTGCAATAATCTTAGTCTCTGAGTGCTGGGATTATAGGCATGAGTCACCATGCCCAGCTGTTTTTGTATTTTGATGTTAGTCATTCTGCCTGGGATGAGGTGAAATCTCAGGGTAGTTTTTATTTGTGTTAACCCATGTTGAACATTTTTCATATACTTATTAGCTATTTGTACTTATTCTTTTTGAAAGTGTCTGTTCCATTTGTCCACTTACTGATTGGTCTATTTGAGTTTTTGGTGTTAAGGTTTTTTAGTTCTTTATGTACTTTTGATATTAATTTTTTCTCTAAAGAGTAGCTGACGAAGATCTCCCATTATGTAGCTGCCTATTCACTGTTAATTGTTTCCTTTGCTGTACAAAAACTTTTTTATTTGATGCAGTCACATTTATTTGTTGATTCTTGCTATTATTTCTTTTGCTATTGAATTCCTATTCAGGAAGTCTTTGCCTGGGCCCATAACTTCAGATGTTTCTCTTATGTTTTCTTCCAGCAGTTAAAATTTTAGGGTGTTTTTTGAGTAGTGTTGTTCAAGCTGTCCTTGAACTCACTATGCAGTCCTGGTTGTCTTTAAACTTGCAGTGATCCTTCTATCTCAGCCTCTCAGGTGGTGGGGTTATAGGCATGCGCCATCATGCCTGGGAAAGTTTCAGGTCTAAGGTCAGTTTTGAATTGATTTTTGCACTGGGTGAGAGATAAGGATATAGCATCAATCTTTTACAACTGGATGTCCAGTTTTCCATGAAAAGAGGGTGGCTTTTCTCCAATGCGTGTTTTTGGCCCCTTTGTCTGGAATTAGACATTTGCAGTGAATGAATTTGTTTCTGTCCTCTGATCTATTCCACTGGGCTACATGTCTATTCATGTGCTAGTACCAAGCTGTTTTATTTCTATGCCTTTATAGTATATTGTAAAATAGGATATTATGATGCTGCCAGCATTACTTTTTTTGGTTCAGGATTGCTGTTAAAGTTTAGATCTAAAATACTCCCCTAAAGCCTCATGTATTAGAAGGTAGAGCTTTTGGAAAGTGATTAGGTTTATCATCAATGAATTAGTCCATTTATGATTTCATAGCTAAATGCAGTGTTAGGAAGTGGGGTCCAGGTGGAGGATGGGCATCACTGAGGTCTGTCTATGAGGGTGCCCCCCAGCTCTTTCTACTTTCTTCTTGGCCCCTCTGCTTCCTGTCAGTCATGGGTTGAGCTGCTTCCCTCCATCATGCACTCCCACCATGACATTCTACTTTGTAGCCAGCTATGTATGGCCTGAACCCTCTGAAATTATGAGCCAAAATAAAATGCTCCTTTAAATTGTGGATGTCAGCTATTTTTTCCCAGGGATAGGATAAGTAATACAATTGTTTTGGCTATTCTACGTCTTTTGTATTTCCATGTGAATTTTAGGATGATTTTTTCTAGTTTTCTGAGTAATATTGGAACCTTGATGGGAATTGCATTGAATCTATAGATTGAGTGTTGTAATATGGCCATTTTAACAACATTAATTCTGGAAATCCATGAATGTGGGACAACTTTTCATCTTCTAGTGTCTTCTACAATTTCTTTCTTCAGTGTTATACAATTTTCATTGTACATGTTTTTCACCTTCATGGCTAGGTTGATTCCTAGTATTTAATTTTTTTAAGCTATTGTGAGTGAAATTATTTCCCTGTTTTCTTTCTCAGCTAGTTTATTATTAGTATATAAAAATGTTATTAATTTTTTAAATGTTGACTTTTGTATCCTATATTTTCATTTTTTTAGTTAAATTCTCTGCAAGATCTGCATCCCTTACCCAAGATAATTTTGGAATACAGGCAGGTAAGTTGACTCCTTGGTAAGGAGTTTGTGATAAAAGGGAAGTGCCAGGCTCTATCTCTGTTAATAAATAACCATTGCCAGTAAAAAATAAATAAGTTACCATTGCTAAACACTCTGGCAGTGTTCTAAGGGGTGCAGTTTCTCAGGTTAGCCCTACTCCCTCACACCCTGACATGATCTTACTCAAGTCTGCAGTCAGCCCTTGCCTAGCGTTGGGAACCAAAGGATCATTAAAGAAAAAAACTGACGTTGTGTCCTTGCTTGTGACTGTTGTGTCCTTGCTTGTGACTTCAGTGCAACTGAAACTTCTGCCAGTATCCACAAAAGCTCTTGCCTTCCCATGGTTTTCAAACTTCAGGCTAGCATTTTACCTTTACCAGTACTGTTTAGCAGGGGGTTAATGACACACCCATCCCCTCCTCTGGCACTCACCTTTTCTCTGTTCACACAACTGCTCTTCACTTCCCAGGTTTTGTTTAGGAGCCACACTGAAAGCTTTGTCATCACTCAGGCCACTGTCCTATTATTTGCTGAGCTTGTGACCTACTATTTGTGTCTGGCAACGTGCTAGGACCAGTTGGCCCTTTCTCCTGAAGGGTGAGAACTAGAAAGGGCCCACAAGGGATACACTGACCTGAGATTTTACTTATCTTCTTATCTTTACAACTTTTCTGTAAATTTAGAGTTATTGCCAAACAGATTTATTTGAAAAGAGAGGGGTGACAATCTCTCTCTGTGGGCCATTGTTATTCAATACTGGCATCACCAAGACCCTCTATGATGACCAGAGGCACATGCCTGGTGCTATGGGAAGTGCTGCTCTGGTGCTTGTTCCTGTTTAAATACTTAACAAAAGGATTATTCTTGTCTTTGTGATTTAGGTTCACAAGATCAAGTCAACCTTTGTAGATGGATTACTAGCTTGCATGAAAAAGGTAACAGGCTTTAAACAAAGAAATGGAGGGTAGGAACATGCTTATAAATGAGTTCAGATACACAGAGAACTTTTATACTTCTAGTAATTGATGAAATAGTCTGGTATTCATAGAATTGATTCTTGCATTGTGATTCTGGTATTATTACTGTGCTCTCTGCACAGCATAAGCTGGTGTTAAGCATCTAGAGAGTCCATGTAAGAGGAAGCTCTAGGGCTGACCTCTTGTTTTCACTGTTATTATTACATCTGTCTTCTGGAACTGTTTGAGGTAAATGTTGTTGTTTTAGTTTATACACAAGAAGATTGTAGTTAGAGATGTTCTGTGACTTGTTAGAGTCTATGCAACGGACAGCAGCCCTGCCAGTAACTCACAGTCCCACCTTGACTTTTCAGGTACCCATAACCCATCACCCCGCTTACCCATACACTGGAGTTGTAAGTAGCATAAGGCCTACTTGCCCTATTGCTGCTTCCACTTGGGTTACAGAGAAACTTCCTTCTTCACCCATCCTTGGTCCCATGGCAGAAGTCTTGTAATTCCAGGGGCATTTCAGAGGTGGGAATTTAGGGTCTGCATCTCACTGGCCTTTAGAGAAACAGTGAGTGTTGATGTTATGGGTGGTGAAGGGCCCAGAACAGTATTGCCATGGCTTAAACTGATTCTTTTTAACTGATCAAGGGTTCCATTTCCTCCACATGGAATCAGACTGGAACTGTGACCGGCAGACTTTCAGCCAAGCATCCTGTAAGTTAGTGTTCTTTGTTGAATGCCAATTTCTGTGCCTTGCGACAGAAGTTCTTCCCAGATGTGTTTGCCTGTGCAATTTCCATTTCCAAGAGGGGGTCTCATGCTGATCACTGTGTTTCAGTTTGTATATTCATCCCACTAACCTTCTGGGAGCACTTTTGTATTCTGGGAATAAGACTCTGAAGTGTTAAGTCAGTGAAGAATATTCTTTCCCCAAAAACCCAGGGACTTCAGTACTGAAGGCAAAAAGGATCCTCTTTCCCTCCCCCATCATCTTTTTCAGATTTGTGCTGAACAGGTAATTTTTGATTTCCAGAAGTGTCTCTGTAATCACTTCCATCTTTTGGTTGTTGAAGACTGTTTCTCATGAAAAAAAAACTCTAAGTGCCTCTGAGTTTGTGATGTACCTTTACTAACACTTAAAATAGTTACCTTTCAGATGACTTGTTATTTCTGATGTAAAGAAAGCTTGTTACTCTTTTCTTATTGCAAAAAAGTTCCTTAAGTATGGAAAACAAATATCAATTAGTAAAAGCCTCCATGGTTCTACCATGTAGAGCCAACTGTGCTGACAGTCCTGTCTGTCTTTTCATACTTTTTGCTAAGCACATGTATTCATACAATACTATTTTTTCTACAAAAAAAGCCACCTTGTTTTTATTTTACACGTCTTGGTATGATTATACACCTGGATTTGATGCTGAGCACTGTGGGTGTTGATTTTGCCTGTTGGGGTTATGAGGGACCAGTACTGTCTTCCACTGCATGTCTAGCCCTAGGATCATCTCTGGTACTTTATTCTTTTCTGGAAGTTTCCAGTGGTACTGATTTTCAGGTAGCACTCTTAGATTTTCAATCATGTGCTATTTTTATTTTTCTATTATTTCATTCTTTGGGGTTTTTTTCTGAGACAGGATCTCACTATGTAGTACAAGCTTGTCTTGAACTTACTGTGTAGCCCAGGCTAGCTTCCAACTTGCAGCAGTCCTTTCTTCCTCAGCCATCACACCAGGCTTATTTTTCCATTTGAATGTTTAAAACATTCAGCCATCACATTTAACTGGAAGTCTGTGCTGTCATGTCAACAGCTGTGTGCATCCCAGCTGTAGGGCTGACCCTACAGATAATCTTTTGGGTTGATTTGGCTTTCCGTAATTTAAGCAAGATGCCATAAACATACTTGTGCATATGTTTTGGTACATTTCCCATAGCATAAATTTCTAGAGATGAAATTTTACAGTCCAAGTCTATATGTATTTTTTTGTACCAGGAATCAAACTCAGGATCTTGTGCTTGAGTGGCCAGGCTGTGCCACTGAGCTATATCCCTGGCATGTATGTATGTATGTATGTATGTATGTATTGGTACCAGGGATTGAACTCATGACCTTGCATTTGCCAGGCAGGTGCTTACACTGCTGAGCTAAATCCCAGGCCCCCTATATTTATTTTTACGGTTTTACATTGCCAATTTGTCCACCAGAGAAAAAATTACGTTTCCCTCTCACAGTCAGTGAAAAGCTCTAATCCTTGTCATTGCAAGTCTCCAGTTTTATTATTATTTCCCGATTCTTTTTTATAATTTCCATTCCTTTAAAAATTTGTTGCTCCAAGCATGGTGGCATCTGCCTGTAATACTAGCACTCAGGAGCTGAAGCAGGAGGACTGCCATGAGTTTGAGGCCAGCCTAAGCTACATAGTGAGTTCAAGGCCAGACTGAACTACATTGTGAGACCTTGTCTCAAAAATCAAATAAATAAATACATACATACATACTTGTTGAGGCTGACTACATAAAATAATCACTCTATAAATTACCTGCTTATGTCATTTATCCATTTCTCTGGAGAATTTTTTCTATTAGTTTTAGAAAGTTCTTTATATATAGATTATACCTAATAAAAAGCTGAAATATTTTTTCTTCCCAATTTTCTTTTGCCTTTTAATTTTAAAAATATACATTATTTTGCCATACTTAAGTGGTAATCTGCTTCTCTTCCCTGGCTGCTTTTATTATTCTATTCTTTTGGTGGGTTTCTAGAATCTTGATTATTAAATGTCTGGGTGTAGATCTGTTTTGGTGGTAGGTGGCTGGAGTTCTGTATGCCTCATTTATCTGGATATCATTTCTTTTTCCTATGCTTAGGAAATTTTCCTTTAATATATCTGTGAATATTCTTTGTAGTTCATTTTTGGTTACTCCTGCTTCTTCGCTCATGTGCTTTATTCTTAAGTTATGTATGCTTTTGTGGTCTTCTAGCCTTTGAACTGTTTCTTTCTGGTTCCTCATTATTTTTAAGAGGTCTTTTCTTTCATGAAAAGACCTTCCCTTTTCTTTCATATATCATAAATCTTTCTTCAAGTATCAAAATCTAACTTTAGTTTCTGTCAAGGCATTTTGCCAGTTTTCAATGGAGTTTTTAGTTTCCTGGTAATCTCTTTGGATCTGTTTCATGTATTCTAGGTTATGTTTAAATTCTTCATCAGAGGTCTCTCTTTTCTGATTTCCTCCGTTCTTCCATCTGTGTTCTCTTTGGAGGGGCTTATCATTTCTTTAATTAATCTTTTTATATCTTGCCTCACTTGGGTCAGAAGTACAGTTTTAAATTCATCTATGAGGTCATGAAGGTATTTCTTTATATCAGCTGATGCTCTGTCTAGTATTGGATGGTTACTGTGTTGGTTCTCTTCTGTATTTACTTCTCCTGGGCTTATTTTCCCAGGTTCAGCAGCTGGAGATTTTTATTTCTATCTCTTATAATATTTCTTTCAGACTGGTGTGTCCTGGGGGTCTCTGGCCCTCTCTGTATTGCTTAGGGTCTTTCTGAAGCATGCTGACTGGAGTTTTTGCTGCCCTCCCCAATATGCTGTTATCTGAGGTAGGCAGGAATTCAGGGACAGTATAGGCTAGCCTCCAGCCTCTGTGCCAGTCAATCTGCAAGTTAGACTGTACCTTGTGGATGTCACAGAGTCACAACTATTTTGTATCTGCTTATTGGGTCCCAACCAGAGGTGTGATTCAGCCCCAGCAGACCCTGCCAGTTCTCTCTGCACCCATCAGAAGCAGCTGACTGATGTCACTGCAGTGCAGGGTTCTGCCCAAATCCAAGATGTCCTCTACCAGACCTCTCTGCGCCAGGGGCAACTATCTGAGGTCACCGTGGTGCTGGGCTCTGCCCAATTCTAAGATGTCCTCAGCCAGTGACAGCAGCCCCGAGACCCAGTCTCTAGTACTCACCAGAACTCAATGCAGATCTTCCTCTTGGGTCCACTGCACACTGCGCTGCTTGTCTTCACTGTGTTCCCAGCACAGCTCGGATGGGTCAGAAAACTGCACAGCATCTGGCTTTGGAGCTCCAAAACTTCTCGCAGTCTTCTCTGGAGCCACCAGGTGGCTATGGCTGCTTCACAGGGTCCCACGTCTCAATTTCCAGCAGTCGCCAAAAGCCAATACAGCTTTTCCCCTTGGAACCACTGCTCTCTGTGTCATGTCCTCCCATTAAAGGTCCGGGATTCACAGACTCCCGTTATTGGCAGCCGCGGTCTCAGCATGACCTTAGATCCTCTGGGCACGCCTGGTACAGTGCAGAAAGGGGCTCAGTGAGTACATCGGGCTTCAGCTCTCCACCCAAGCTTTTCCTTCCTCTTCCTGGTTTTATTTTTCCCTTCAGTTATCACCTTGGTTAATAAGAATCGTTATCTATTTGTCTGGCCCTCTCCATGTTGTCATATTCTAGCATCTGATCTGATTTCTCTGCAAAGACTGCACCCAGCCCCCTAGCAAGCCACCATTTTTGAACTCCTGGGCTTGCTCTGATTACAGCTTATTTAAAAGCCAAGATAGAGTAGTTGATTTGGTTGATTCACCTGCAGTCTCAGTAATGTATATTTAGTAAACACACTGGCGCACTTTTACAGAAGCTACCCTAAAATGTTGGTCAGAACACATCACTATTTGTATCAACTTAGCATTGGCATCTTTTGATTGCCTTTACCTGTGCAAGTTGAGATTTGCCTATTTCTTCATGTGTCTAATACTTTAGGTTGTTTACTGGACAGTTTGAATATTATGAGAGTCTGAGTCTTGTTTAAAAATTCTACTAAAATAGAATTGGGATTTTTGTTTCATTGGGCAGTCAGCCTGGTGAGGCTCTGGCTGCCTGTCCTGACTCGTTGCCCACGTGCTGTGGTGCCACTGCAGATTCAGTTTTCAAAGCCTTTGCAGTGCCGTTCAGATAGTCCCACTGACAGTCACCCAGGGTCAGTGTAGAACTTGAGTTGTATTATGTTAGTTCCCCTGTCACTTTTCATGTGCCATTCAGGACAAGAGCTGCTCAACTGCAGGTGGAAGCTGAGCCTTGCAGTTTATAAGCAATTCTATGACACTGCTTTCCGGATCTCTGGTCTGTGACTTCTCCACTCATTTCTGGTCCTTTAGGAATCCTTTTTTTTTTTTTATTGTCTAATGGGTAGTGTGAGGCTTTAGTAATCTGACCCTGCCATACAGTCTCTGACACTGGCCCCATGTCCAGGACCAAGCAGTAGGAGAACAGAGGGGTCAAGATGGTGACTCACTGCCTATCTGGTAGGACTTCATATTCTGGTCTGCTTCCACAGTCTTCCTGGTGCTTATTGTTCATTTATCAGAATCTCCATATTTCTGCCTGTGCTTCTGCCCAGTTACATGGCTGCATCAGTGGAATGTGCATGCTCATCTCACCAGAAATAGGAATCATAGTTTCAGTACTGGGAGCTGATCTGAGGGAGCACTGGGCTACATCTCCGGCATTATTTTTTCCTTTTTTCTATTTTGAAACATGGTCTTGCTAAGTTGGCCAGGCTGGGCTCAAATTTTTGATTATTCTGTCTGAGCCTACCAACATAGCTGGGTTGCCTTAATTTTTTTAACATTATTGAGGTAGGGACTCTGGAGAACATGGCGGACAGACAACAGCAACTACTGAACGCTCTCTAAAGGCTCGGCTCAGAGGCCAGGAA